TTTATTGGGGAGTTGGGGGAGGGGAACAATGTTGGGGAATCGGGGAAGGGGAACAGACAAGTTGCTGTCCTTTGGTTCTTCAGTCTAGTTGTGGAGGACATTGCTTCACTGGCCCATGTTGGTATTATTATTGCGTTCTTCCCGGGTGAGGCAGATCAGTCGCCGGCCACTGGACAACCGCTCATAGTGGCTCTAGGCAGCTCACGCCAGCTGCCGGCCGCTCATGGTACCTTACGGGGGCCCACTGCAGCTCCACTGCAGCCTACGCCGTCGCCAACGAGTCATGGCAGCCCAGCTCCAGGTCGAGCTATTGTTCACCATCTTAGCTGTAGAAGGTGCAGCTTCACTGGCCCTAATGTGGGATTTGAACCGGGGCCCTGCTGCTCAGAGCTGGCGTCCCAAGCCAACGCGCCATTCGGCTGGCCCTCTTTGGGAGGTTTAACAGTCATAATCACACCAGGAAACAGATGGCACATTCAGAATAGGGATAATTCAATGATAGTTTAATTATGAACTACTTCCAAAGATAATAAGGATGAGGTATGGAAAACCACAATGATACACTTCTCTATGTCCAGTAACAGTGGCTAGTGCCACCCCTAGGCCCAGAGGACCTACCAGAAGAATGTTCTTAGTCCATTTAGGCTGCTATAACAAAAATACTATAGCCTGGATGACATAAACAACAGAAATTTATTTCTCACAGTCCTGGAGGCTAGGATATCCAAGATCAAGGTGCTGGCAGATTTGATATCTGGCACATTTGGTGTCTGGTGAGAGCCTGTTTCTTGGTTCATAGATATCTTTTTGCTGTGTCCTCACATGACAGAAGGGGTATCTTTTATAAAGGCACTAATCTCATTCATGAGGGCTCCACCTTCATCACCTAGTTGCTTCCCAAAGGTTCCTACCTCTAAATACTGTAAAATTGGAGGTTTGATTTCAACATAAGAATTTTGGAGGAACACAAACATTCAGCCTGTAGCAAGGAAGGAGAGAGGGCTAATTCTAGAGGAATGATTGGAGGTACACAGACAGCCCAAAGCCACCTTAAAGAGAGAAAGCTGGTACAAGAGTAATCACTGAATTAGTGTTTGTTGAATGAATGACTACGTAATCTCTGCTTGAATAGTCCCTTGTGTTGTATTGAAATTGTCAGATGTTTTGGTTGTATTCCCCACGAAACTGTTAGCTCCAAAAGGATTAGGACTATATCTTATACCGATATTTTCAGTGCCTGGCATGAACAGACGACAAGTGAAGGATTGAGAGAACTTAATATTTTTCAAGATACAACAAAAACTACAACAGATGAAATCTATTCAGTTAACAGTTGGAATAAGTGGTTTCATTACATATAAATTATTATTAGAATAAGGAAAATGTATCTTCAGATATCCTCATCAAGTAGTTTGATGCATGGCTTCACCACTTTTATGTTGAATTTTTGTACATGTATTCTAACAAAGTTTGTTTGGGGGTTGTTTGCTAGGAGGAGGCATCCCCCTACTCTTTGGTCAACCTCTGCCTGCACGTCCTGATTGCCAACCTGGAGAAGTTGTGTTTTAAAAGATCTGATGGAACATTGTGCCTTCCGGAGCATTGGAGTTTTCCTCAGGAGTTAGCTGATCGGTTCCTTGAGGTGATGACTTGGCAAGGTAATGATAAGGATCCTATGTTGTGTACTCCTATAGCACTGTTTACAATTGGAAAAGCACTTTCACATGGAATTCCTCTTTTGTCCCTCACAACAACCCGGTGGGAAATAGAAAAATTATTCCCATTTTGTGTGGAGGCTGAGTCTCAGAGTCTTTCTGGGATCACTTGGAAATTGTCTTACTTCAGAGCTTGCCCTGCTATTGGCTTAGCAGGGTAGTGGAGAGCTCAGTCAAGTCACCACTCGTCTATCTGCTCCCTAGCTGCTGAAATGCTGTTGCTGTAGTTTTGTCTCCTATTCTTTTGATTGTGAATATGAGCCTTTAAGTAATTTTCCTTTACCTTTCATTATAGTGGAGTTTTCAAAGGGCTGTATTTAATTTGCCATGTTACAGATTTCTCTTAATGAAAATTTTTAGTAACAAATTATGGAGATGTAATTCACATGTAATTCACCCATTTAAAGTTTATAATTGAATGATTTTTTTTTTTAGTGTATTCACGGATTTGTGTAGCTGTTATCAATAAATTTTAGAACATTTTCATCACCTCAAAAAGAAACTTCTTACCCATCCCTCTTAACCCTGAGCAACCACTAATCTACTTTCTATCTCCATGGATTTGCCTATTCTGAACATTTAGTATAAATGGAATCATGCAATATGTGGCTTTTTGTATCTGGCTTTTTTCACTCAGCATAATATTGTCAAGGTTCATCCATGTTGTAATATTAATCACTACTTCATTCATTTTTATGGCTGTATAATACAAGCATACCTTGGAGATAATGTGGGTTTGGTTCCAGACCATCACAATAAATTAAGTATTGCAATAAAATGAGTCACATGAATTTTTTGGTTTCCAGTGCATATAAAAGTTATGTTTACACTCTATTATATTAAATGTGCAGTAGCATTATAACTCAAAATTATTTTCTTCCATTCTATGGATTGTGATTTCACTTTGTTGATAGTGTCCTTTGGCTCACAAAAGTTAATAATTTTGATGAAGTCCAATTTACCTCTTTTGTTGCTTATGTTTTTCGTATCATATCTAAGGATCCATTGCCAAATCCAAGATCGTAAAGATTTACACCTATATTTTCTTCTAAGAGTTTTGTTGTTTTCACTCTTACAATTAGGTCTTTGGTCCGTTTCGAGCTTTTTTTTGTAGGTGGCATGTGGTGTAAGTCCAGATTCATTCTTTTGCATGTAGTTACACAGTTGTCTGTCCCAGTACTATTTATTATTGCAAAGACTATTTTTTCTCTATTAAATGGCCTTGTCACCCTTCTTGAAATTCAGTTGACCATAGATGCATGGGTTTATTTCTGTACTCTCAATTCTGTTCCATTGATTAACATGTCTTTTTTTTTTTTTTTTTAGCTGAGCCATCCTGCTACCTATTGGCAGCTTAGCGGCTGCTCAGCTCGGGCTGGCCTCGAACCGCTGTTGCTCAG